TCTAAAAAGTATTGCGTTCAAATTGCTGCAAACTGTTCACCCGTGGAAATTCACATGAAATAATGTATATTGCTTTATTATACATCAAGCAGTGCAGTAAAATTCCATTAATATACTAGTAATGATTAGAACAAACGAACTTCTTCCCCTTAAATTATTTGTTCCCTGACAAATACATAATCATGTAAATGGAGTTTTACTGTATGTGGATTCGTTTCGGTTGATTTTAAAAGATCTACGTTCTTTAAAAAACGCTAAAATCCAAATTGCCAAATGTTGCAAACGATCGTGAATTACTCGTCATATTATACATAAAGATCACAGCGATAGAACTGAAATTGTGGAACTATAGTGAAGCTTGTCGGATCTGAATTGCCCGGCTGGCGACTTCTCAGCTGCCTATTATACCTCATGTCTCGCAAGCCACGAGTTCTGCACGTTTATACTTTTCTCGCGTGGCCCTGTCGGAACTCGTGACGATCCCCTTCGTACGTCTATTTATTTATTTATTATTTTTCTTCTTTTTTACGTTATCTCTAACTCCACGGTCTTCCCCCCTTTTTTCGATCGATCTAACTTATTTGTGAAAATTGTCCGCGAATTACATCTGTCATGTATACCTTCCTTTCCTCATCTACCGTTCCTTTCTTCATCTTTGGTCTTCCCACTCTTGTTTGCTTAGTATTTAAGTATTTCGAGAGAAGAATATTCCCTGGTTACGCGGGGAATATGTTTCAAGTATGTGTCTTAAGCACACGCCCGCACGCACCGAAATACACGTATGCATAGGTATGTAACTTATGTTGAAGAAAGAATTGGACATGTGACACGCATACATCGAAAGTGAATACGAATGGTATGTGCGTGAGTTGCATTGTATACATACAATGGCGCGAGGAATGTATACACTAAGATTGATTATTTCATAATTATTTTAATTACATAATCATTTTTATTTATATAATCCTGCGTTCCTCTTCTTCATCCTGCCAACACTGATTACATTGTTTTTACGATCTATTAACGCTTCACACTGCAGATAGACGAGTTGATTCGTCCTTGTTTTGACGAGTTCACTTGTCATCCTTGGTTGAAGAGTTGGAAACCAAGAGTCGAAGTGATATGTCAATATTGGATAAATGCAAAGAAGCGAAAATATTAGAATTCAATCTAGAGAAGAATATTAGAATAAAATAGGAGGATAAAATAAAAAGGTAGAAATAGAAAATAAAAAAGATGAAATAAATAAAAAGAGAGAAAGAAAAACAAAAATGTAGATTAATAAAATAGCATAGGAAAATAAAATAGAAAAGTAAAGCCTAAAAAATAAAATGAAAGTAAAAATAAAAAGATGGAATAAAAATTTCTTTTCAAAAAAATTTTTTTCATAACAAGGAAATATTGTTATAATTTAAAGAAAAATAATTTACTGCAGTGGTATAAATATTTCAATTTCTTTAACATATTACTAATGATCAAAGTATCAAATTTACATACTGAAAATATATAAAGTTCATACGTGTAATTGTCCTTAGTACCTTAATACCTAGATCAATTTTAGAGAAGATTGAAATTATATCGTTGAAAAAATTCATTTCGTCAAGATTTGAAAAATATTCACGAGTAATTTCCATAATTCTAGAACTTCTTTTCAGCAAAGAATTTTTTCAGTCGTAAAATCAAATGGAAGTTAGAGACAACTAAATATGGCGAATATGATGGGTATCGTAATTAATCGTAGTTTAATATATTGATTTTTGGCATAAAAGAGATGTTGCTTGGTGAAAGAAAACTTTTTTCCGTTAATATATTAACTCAATATATTATAATTTCCGTATATAAATAAAATGTAGATAAAATATTCCAAAAAAACTGCACATCATATATAGTTGAAAATTATTTTAGATTGATTCGATGTATTTTAATTATTCATACGAATAGTTTTGTTTACGAATGTTTATTTACGAAAAATTTCAAGTTGCAAATAATATTTAATAAATCAATAAAATATTAAGAAACAACGAAACAAAAGAAAACAGTTTTCTTTCTATTACAAATATTAAATATTAATTAATATTACAAATATTAAAACAGTTTTCTTTCTATTATAATATTTTATTAGAAAAAGTTTTCTTTCTATTACAAATATTTTATTCTCAGAATTTTTCAAATTCAGTGTGTATTTAATAAATTTTAAAATTATGTCTAATAACTAATAAGTAACGTGAAATGAATCAAAGAATTATTATTTTCGATATGTGAAACATTTATTAAAAAAAAAAAAAGATTAAAACTATTCCAAATTTGATAGAAGTTATTATCTAAAGAAGTTAAAAATTATTTTAATTGCTTAATCATATTAAGTAATAACTGTAATTATTTAATTATTTTAATTATTTTAATTATTTAAAACGAAATATTTCCCATAAAATTTGCACGCTACGGTTAACACACTGTAAAAGGATAGAACAAAAGTGCCAGAGAATGTTATAAATAATTCTGCATTTTAGCCGCATTTAAATTTATATAAAATTCTACTGAAAATTGCATAATTGAAACTTCAAAGGAATAACTGTAGCAGCTACGAAATTTACGTCCAATTTATTAAATATTTAAGTCTGATTGAATTATTAGAAAGATTTATTATTAATTTTCATAGAAGCTGATAACCTTAAATACTTTTCGTTGTAATAAAGAAAAAGTAATTTTAAATTATCGTGGACGACATCTAGTTCCTGACATTTTCCAGGCACGCAAAAATGGCCTATACTTAGCCATCATAAATTCACGTTGTCTGGCTGATTTTCTGACTTTCTGGAATTTTTCGGCAATGTCGTGCATGCTACTGTCCAAGGTCAAACGTGATGGTAACAGATTTTCGAATTTGCACCTATTACAAATGAAATATTATCGTTTGTTAAATCGTATCGTTCATTCATTCAGATTGAAATTTCTTTTGCAAATAGACAAAATTTTCTTTTACTAATGCAGTACAAATTGAAGTGAAAATACAATTTTTCGAAATTTATTCATTTATTTATTCATTTGTGAACGTGTTTTAAAATTAAATTTTACTATATTACATATATTTTTTAATTTTTAAACCAAAGATGTACATTATAATGTACATGCATGATTTGAAATAGTTCAATAAATTGTAAAATAAATTACTTACTTTAGCATTTCATGTTTCAAGCTCGTGTCCACGAAATAAGATCCTACTTTTTCATTTAAGTTTAAAATTGTACCCAATTCTATTC